GCACGGGCGCCGGATAATCAATACCCCATGCGCACCGACGCTCGGCTGGCCACTCCCGGACGCAATGATCCCCTCGTCGGGTCCCCAGTCATCATCGACGTCGAGCGACGGCGACGCCGCCGTAACTACATCGCCACCGTCGGCTCCGCCGTCGTCCCCATGCCCAAAACCATCCAGATCCAGCGAAGGATCGGTAGAAACACGTGAAAAAGAAGAGGGATTACCTTCTTCGCCCTGCACGACCTCGGTCTCGTTGATGTTGGTGCTATCCATTATAATACTTCGAATCAGCAACAGCAAGATGAGAATCGAGGTTGTAGAAGAAGGAGAGGAATCCCAGAGACAGCAAGAAAGCACAAAGAAACAAACGAAATTTTTCTTTCACGAAAGCAAAGTGAGTTCCGACTTCTGGGCAGAGATGGGGTATTTATACTCGACAATGGAAAGCTGAAGGGTTAAAGTTGCATCGAGAATCGCAACCGTCAGAGCCTTTTCAAATTTCAAAACGGCCGCCAAAACCGACCAACCGCACACAGACACGTGGCAACCTACCATCCCTATGCACTAGCCGCTGACGTCATAGGTTCTGCACAGCGCTTGGGGGGCAGGATACGCCCACAAAGGAAAAAAACACGCTCAAAAATAATACCAACTAGGAAAGCGTCACGCACAACCAACCCAGGAGATCTCGGACACTCGCGGAACATTACCGCTGGGGGGCAACGCGAAAACAGAGGCTTCACGCGCAAACCACCCCAGGAGATCTCGGACACTCGCGGAACATCACCGATGGGGGGCAACGCGAAGATGGCGCGCACAACCAATCCCTGAGGTCTCGGACGAACGGGAATCGGGCGAAGGATACACTAGTCGTACGCGCCACCGACGATCAAGCGAAGACTAGAGCAGACACTAACTTACCCATATCGCGTCAATCATAATCAACAGGCGGAATCGCGCAGATCCGAGTCGCTCGCATGAAGATCAAACAGGCGGCATTCGCGGAATACCCCCTGATGGGGGGCAATTGTTGGGGATGTGACTCGGATCTCAACACGCCGAAGAAATACCCAAGGATGCTCACGTCAAAGCCAACGCGCGAGTCGCGCCAGGGGAAAGCGCGAGTGTAGAGACTGGCCCTAAAGACCGCGCATAAACGCCAAACGACGGCACTTTGGACAAGCGCGGGCCCTCACCGAGAAGTTGTAGAAGCGGCGCCGCGTCACCCGAAGGGTAGTCAACATCATAGTCCTAGGTATAGTCATGGCTAAGGGTCTTGTCACCCCTAGGGATATGGTCTTTGTCCCTGACATGTCAGAGGTCATGTCACCTTACCGTAGTGGTCACGTCATCGTACCATCATGTAACTCACCCACCACCATGTAGCTTATAAATATGGCATTTACTCCGGTGGGTGAGGGGGGGAGGGGGATTTTTGAGACTCTATCTCTAAAACCATTATTTTCTCTCACTAAACAGACTCTCCCTCTCATTCGTCTCAAAGTTCTTGTTCTACCGAGCCGTTCATTCTTCTCGACCCATTCTAGTGAACCTCACTCCTACACTCAGTTAGGTTCAAACAATAAGCATGCGCAATTTTCGCATCAAATTGTCCTGACCCCACTGGTCGAGAGTGAGCGATTGATTTCCTTATATTTTCTACACTCTTTACCCCGGTGAGGACCTAGATTGCTCGGTCTTGATTCTGATGTCTTGAGTGTTATGCATGAAGTGACTGCCTTGGATAAGTGGGTGAGTCAAGTCTATGTTGGTTGGTGAACAGAAGGGAGACTCTTCCTTCGCTCGACTTTCCTGCACTCGAATGTCATCCCTGGTGGTTGTCTAGGTTGCCGTTTAAATTTTTCATGTGTTGATGACTCAAAGCTAGTATGATTCGCTCGACTTTCCTGTTTGTGACTGCTGTTGAGGAGTCCAAAACACGGGTGCAGCTGTCCTGAAACACGGTCGTGTCACTCCTTAGGCACGCCCGTGTTTTACTCGGCGCGAGCGTGTATTCGGCACACGAGGAGAAAACACGGCCGGACAAAGTAAAACACGGCTGTGTTTTGCCCAGTGTCGGGTTAAAAGGGTTGTTTCAAGCCAAAGAGAGGGGAGACGAAAAAGTGTGAAGAAAAAACCCTAGAAAGAGAAAGTGTGAAGAACATACCCTAGAGGTGATTTTGGAGCTGGGTTTCATCAATCAAGCTTGGATTTCATCCCTGGAGTGAAGATTACCATCCCAAAGCAAATTCTTCCCATCATTATGAGTATGACTGCTTTGTATTCTGTTTTCCTCTCTCTCTATATGGAGTAGAACTCTCTCTCACTTGGGTATGAAGAACCCTAGTTCCATGTGTTAGGGATTTGAGTTGTAATGAATTTTGGATTGCTATACTGCTTGATTATAATCGATTGAGACATGATTTATCGAGTCAATTGAAGCTTGATCAACTTTCCTTGATTTCTGCTGCAACCTGAGATAGATAGAATCTGATTAGGTTGTTAGAGCTTCTTCAATCGGTAGTAGTGAATTGATTATTCGAGAGTTAGTCAATTCACTGCTTTGTACTGGAATTCATTATAGTAGTGGAGATCGGTGTGAATCGCCTTAGCAGTCTATCCTGGTGAAGGCTAGTCGCCTGCCGGGTATTCTGTCTAAGAGGGCTTGGTCAGCTTAAGAGATTCCAAGCTAATTTAGGATCTTCCGCAGTTTAATCTACAGTAAATCAACCAAAGAGAATTACAATTTTGACCTAACTAATGAGCTAGGGGGATTCATTCCCGAGTACTCTTCCCTTGCTTAAGAACTTCGACAATTTCCTGCTTTCTTACTGCTTTTGTTTACAATCACTCTCACTAAACTTATTCCCGCTAGATAATAGATAATCACGGAATAGGCAGTAGATCTAGACCCCGGGTTGATAAATTGAACTTGCCACTATTCTGCATTTCCGGACTACGATTATACTTGGTCGCAGTTTGGAGTTGTGTTTTAGCGTGTCAGGTATGCACTTTCAACCCATATGCTACACCTCAAAGACGTTGAAAAATGCTCAAGAGAACTACACAACTAAGGAGAAGGATTTGTTGCGATCGTCTTCTCCTGATGAGCAAGACCGACGCCAAACCCCGTCTAATAAGGTGGATCCTGCTTCTCCAAGAGTTCGATGTGGAAATCAAAGACAAGAAAGGAGCCAAGAACCTAGCAGCGGATCACCTTTACCAACTTGAAGGCCCTTGCAGAAGCACCATCCAAGGAAATATAAATGGCTCTTTCTCCAATGAGGGATTGTTCGTGCTTGGCTGCTTGCAATGGTGGAGAGTGCTACCCCTTGGTTCGCCGACTTCGCCAATTATTTGGTCGGAAAGCAATTGCCAAAGGGGATGAGTACTCACAAGAGAAGAAAGTTCTTCTCCGACCTCCGATATTACTTTCGGGATGATCCTCACCTCTTCCAGTTGAAGCCGATTGGATTGTTTACTTGTGATCGAGTGCATCCTATTATGATGATTGAGAATTGTATTAGGTTGGTGCAAGTGTTTAGTTCTCATATGTGTGCAAGTAGATGGATGCCTTGACTTGAGTACTCATTGATTGCAACTGCCATGCATAGAATTTTGAAATTGGAATGGATGATTGAGCGGCTAGGTAGCCATGTGAGATTTGTGTCGATCGTCTTTTTCATGTGTGTTAGATCCCTCTTTCCATGACGAGTAACATTCACGTTGTCATTAGCGAGGAAGATGGAAGCACGGGATTAGTCCACGCCCAAAAAGTTGATTATCCCAAAACATTTTATTCCCTAGTCAACCCTTTTGAGTCGTGTGACTTAGGGTTGTTCTCATTGTATGAGCTTTTGCTACTTGAGTTAATTGAGATTGATAGAGAGACCCTTTGCTTTCTTCGTGTCTAAACCGTTGTGAGGCATCCTTGTGTCCCAGATCTCTCATTGTCGAGCTCTATTGAGGTTCTATATAGGTGTTTTGCACGGTTCTACTTAGGACGAATTAGGGCAAACCTCATACTACGTTTTAGCACCTTGGGTAGGTTGTATTTTGGCCGTCCAGACTATGGTTCGAGGGAGAAGCCTAGGCAACCCTTAGTGGATTAGCCAAGAGAGCTACTTTGGTAGCTTGATTTCGTATCCCTTGGCCTAATGGCAAGAGAGTGAAGCTTCTTCACTTGTTGCGCTTCACTACCGTTTACAACCGCTTTTACCACACATTTGCATTTAGTTCAACAAATCGTGATAACTAGCTAAGGGGACCAATACCCGGGTGAAGCCTTCTCAATTAATATTCATAACCATTACCTTTCCAATTTTTTTTAATTATAGTCCATAGTTTTAATAAAAAACCGATTACTAGATAATGTTACAAATAGTCGAAGTAGGGGTACATGGACTGGCCCGGGTTTGACATTTAAATACTTGCTCTATACTGCACCCGGCTAGGGTTTATACTCAGGTCTTGGTCGGGATTTAAATTGTGGTACTCGGGATGAGTCAACCTATCATGCATACTAGAGACGTGCTTCGATCAGAACGCGTACTTCTCTAAAGTTTTTTTTACGACTGCATACATATAGCAGGGGTTCGGTCGCCACGTCCACTAAGGAGCCCTAAGATCATTCATCTATCCTTAATCTGCTAGTTGGCGCTACATAGTCTAATCCTAAAATTTCCACCTAGTGTTAACTCAGTTTTAGGCTAGTAGGGAAGAGTTGGGCGACTTACCCAAGCATAAGTAAGCATAAATTGACTAAAACTAGTATATTCATACATAAACCTTAACACGATTACATCTACATTCTAATCATAAATCTAGGGTTTGGGGGACAAAGCACCAAAGTACCTTGAGTGATTACCCCATGAAGAGGGGGAGAAAAGACATACAAAGACGGGAAGAAAACATGAAGAAAGGTCTTCAAGTGCTAGAAATCCTCCTCCAAGGGGATTAATACCCTATTTATAGAATTCTACAGACAAGCGCAAGTTCACGGACACAGAGCAGAAGATCGCGACCATTATCTTTGGAGAAGAGGCTGCTATCTTGAGGGTTATGAAATTCTGAGGACACAAACAAGTTCGCGGGCAAGGGGCATAAGATCGCGGCCGCGAGAGGCTGCGATCTTGAGGTTGCCATTTTGTGCTTTGAAAGTTGGGAAGTTCGAGGTCTGAGTTCATGGTCGCGATCCATAACTCGCGGTCATTCTCGCGGGCTTGGATGAAGAAGGTCGTGAGTCGGCTATCAAGACTTTCTATTCCTTCCTTATTGGCTACTCTTGAAGTTTGTGCCCTTGGCTCCAGAGTTTGTGGTCGTGGTCTTAGCCCTGAGCGCTGCAATCTTGGTGCTCTAGGTCGCGCCCATGGCTACTAAGCTCGCAATTATCTCCATTTTGACCCCTTTTACTACACAATAGCCTCATTTTCTTCCTCTTTTCGCTTGTAACGTCAAATGCAACCTACAATAACATGATATAACAAAAGCCATCTAGACTACAAATTACGTTTTATAAATCAAATCATGCTCAAAATGATAATAAAACACCTAATAAATGAAGGCTAAATAACACATTTTTTGGTGCTATCACTTTGCATTTTGACAGAACCCAGACTTGATCTAACACGCTAATTTGAAAAACAGATAAAATGAACATCCAATCCAAACCCGTCAGCACTGAATTTTACCCGCTTTAACTAACTTAAATCGAGTTGGGTACTCATTTGTAGGATTCAAGTGCCATCCCCTAGCAACTAGCAAGTGACCGGGCTCAAAGTAGTACTCGGATTATGGAGATCGACGGAGATAGCCTCCTGTCGTGTCTGTCTTCCAAATGGATGCAACAACACATCACACTCACAGAACAGCGCATCTCCCTGTTTATTTAGAAATTAGAATATGAAACCCTCCAGCACAACAACTGACCCAACTCTCCTCCTCTTCCGCTTTCCAATCTCCCCCGCGCCGTGCACAGACGCCTCTCAACCGCAGACCGACACCTCCTCTCTCCGGCGGTGTACATTTTTCCATCCAACCTCTCTTTCTCATCTCTCAGTCCTGCTTTTCTGTTCAGAATAACACCAAATGTGGAAGCAGAGTAAGAATTCGACCAGATCCATCTGTCCAAATTAAAATAATAGATTTTCATTCCACACCCAAAATCAACCCAAGACAAATCAAGATTTCAGATCCCTTTTCTCTCTGTCTCTCCTCTGTCATCCACATTATTGTTATGTAATACCCATAAGAGCACAGCGAGGGAGAGAAAGAGATAGATGCTTCAACTTCACGAAAGCTCTATAATTGGAGCTAAGTGAAGTGGGTGCGGATTCTCTTTGGGCTGTTGAATTTGAATGGGGCAAGACAACGGCTCCACCTTCACAACGCAGAAGCGATCCAGCGGCGGCGGTTCATCTTTGCCCACCACCAACGGAAGAGCAGCAGGCGCCGCCGCCCGTACAATGATCCCTCGGGGCAGGCAGATCCACAAGACCTTCAACAACATCAAGATCACAATCCTGTGCGGCTTCGTTACCATCCTCGTCCTCCGTGGCACAATCGGAATAGGCAACTTATCCAGCTCCGAAGCCGACGCCGTCAACCAAAACCTCATCGAAGAGACCAACCGCGTACTTGCCGAGATCCGCTCCGACAAGGACCCCGACGATCCTGCCGACTCCACCGACGAGCCCCAATTCCTCTCCCTCAACGACACCTACACCCTCGGCCCCAAAATTGTTGGATGGGATCAACAGCGTAAGGTATGGCTCTCCCAAAACCCTGAATTCCCCAGCTCCGTCAACGGCAAACCTCGAATTCTCCTCCTCACCGGCTCCCCTCCAAACCCTTGCGACAACCCCATTGGGGATCATTACTTGTTGAAGGCCGTTAAGAACAAGATTGATTACTGTAGGATTCATGGGATTGAGATTGTTTACAACATGGCCCATTTGGACAAGGAGCTCGCTGGGTACTGGGCGAAACTGCCCATGATTAGGCGGCTCATGTTATCTCATCCTGAAGTGGAGTGGATTTGGTGGATGGATAGCGATGCTATGTTTACTGATATGGTGTTTGAGGTCCCTCTCTCCAAGTACTCTAACCATAACCTGGTGATTCATGGCTACCCGGATTTGCTATTCGAGCAGAAATCGTGGATTGCATTGAACACTGGTAGTTTCTTGTTCAGGAATTGCCAATGGAGTCTTGATTTGCTTGATACATGGGCTCCAATGGGTCCAAAGGGCCCGATCCGTGAGGAAGCAGGGAAAGTGTTGACTGCTAACCTGAAAGGGAGGCCGGCATTCGAGGCTGATGATCAGTCTGCATTGATCTATTTATTGCTCTCACAGAAGGAGAAGTGGATGGACAAGGTGTATGTGGAGAATCAATATTACTTGCACGGGTACTGGTTAGGTTTGGTGGAGAGGTATGAAGAAATGATTGAGAAGTATCATCCCGGTTTGGGAGACGAGAGATGGCCTTTCGTAACTCATTTCGTTGGATGCAAGCCTTGTGGGAGCTATGGGGATTACCCGGTTGAGCAGTGCCTGAAGAGCATGGAGAGGGCTTTCAATTTTGCTGACAATCAGGTGCTTAAGTTTTATGGGTTCGGACATAGAGGGCTGTTGAGCCCCAAGATCAAGAGGATCGCAAATGAAACTGCAACTCCATTGGAGTATATGGACCAAGTTGATATTCGTCGTCCGGTCCACGGGGATGAGAGCAGCGGGTCTAGTGAAACAAAGAGCTAACTTGGGAGGTGAAAGCACATCAGTTTCGTACAATGTGTGTCATACTTTTGTAGGTAAATGTAATCCTTTTTTTGTGAAACGTGTAATTCCTTCCTCCAGTCCAAAAGGCAGGCCTACTACACTTCAACAGAGTTTTACAGCTTTTTTCACGTAAGTTTTTTCTTTCAATGTTGTGTTTGTTTATGTTTTCCGAGAACACCATGGGTAGAGTTAATTTTTCAATGGAGAATTCCGTTTAGCCTTCCCTGCTCTGTGTTTTGGTTGTCGATGGGGTAAATCGATGATTAATCAGCTTTATATTGACTTACTTTTCTGATGCTGAATGTGGTGTGGTGCATATGAATGTTCGATTTCCCGCTGCATGGCATATGCTGCAATGAGAAGAAGTTGAACTCTTTTTCTTAAACTCAAACTTAGCCAACGAGATTACCTGCTTTTGGGTTTGTGGCGTTTTGCGACATAAGTCATGCTGATATCTCGTAACTGACCTGCAATGGGGGAGTAAATTCCGGGGATTCATGTTCGTGGCACTTGATATTTATTTCACTCGTGTGATAGACAGAAGAAGAAGAACTAGGGATTGAGAATTTGAGAACTAGAGATTCGAGAGAGAATTGAGAAGAGAATCGGGGAAGAGAAGAGATTAGGGATTGGGTTCAATATTATGATATATTCATAATAATCATCCGAATGAGATTCTCCTCCTTAAATAGTCCATGTTTGAAAATCAACCTCCCGCATGTGATGAAGGGGATCGAGCTTGCTTGGAGGAAGAGGAAGATGAAGCATCCTTGCGGTGGGTGGGTTTCGGGATGTTTTCCCGATCAAGTGGCGGCGGTGTGAGGAGGAGGAGGAAGAAGAAGCCGTTGATACCTTTGATTGGAGGCTCCTGCCTTCAGAGTTTGGGTTCCGCGTTTGCTAAACACGACAGAGTTTCTGCCAGGAACAAGGTGCGGAACTGGAGAAATGTTCTGACGGGACGGGAGTCACGAACCTATCCGAATTCACCTCTACTCATTACAGGAACGACTCCGACATGATAAAGGAAATTGCGGGGAAGATATGGAAGGAGTTGAGCCAAACATATCCAAGAATCAACAAGCCTATGGTTGGAATTTTGAGGCGCGTGAAGGTTGTGATCACAGTCCTTCGTCCCTTTTGTAAGTCCCTTCATTACCAATCATCAAACGTCCTCGACCGGTCACTGGAGGCTCGCCGGAATTCATCCTCTGTCCTCGGTGACCGCAACTCCTACAAAACACATTTACTCAAGTCTGTTACAAGGTAAATAATTAATACAATAATTATTGTGTTTAATACCACTTTTACTCAAGTTTGTTACAAGGCTTAACGGCTAGCGCCAAAAGAGTCTTAATTGTGCTTTGACTGCTTTCAAATCGTCTCATTAATGACGAGCTAGAGCATTTTAAAGCAAACCGAGCCTTCCACAAACGATGCTTTACCCGCCCGTTGGGCGGTGCATTACATTTGATTATTTTATAATTTGTTATAGTATTCTAATTATTATTATTATCATTTATTGTTGATTTAATATACATGAAATTGTAAATCTCACTTACCTTATTTAGGTAATGTTTCATACTTTTATATCCTTTTTATTTATGAAAATTTTAATTGTATTAACTGCGCTCTTTGTAGACCTTTCCTTATTGATTTAAAATTTTGTATCGCACTCAAAAAAGTGATAAATAAGTTGAAAATTTTAAGGTAAAAAAACGAAGAAGTTAGAATAAGCAAATAGGATTCAATTAATAAAAAAATAAGTGAAGAGCTTTTCATTTTTTCCCTTCTCCTATGTCGGTATATGATAATAGAGAATATTCCGATCTAGATCTTACGAATATCGTGTATTATCAGTTACACCTGCAATTATGGAATAATGATGAAACACATTAGCATCCACATCCATCAATCTTCTGCATACTCAATTAATTTATCTTGTCAATGTTCTAGCAAAACCAACCACAAACAGAACTATCAGTTGTCACTAATTTATTAAAGCAATATTTTCCACAAACTAAACTGCATATAAACACAATTTATAATTTATAGAGAGCTGCATATCTCCTAAAGGAAAAATACAGTTTTTTACCTAATAACAACATAGACAAATAATGAATAAGAGCATACTTCAATACAACTCAACTCATTCTATCTTGCATATTCCTAATTTGTGAACTGAATCTATGCACCAATCGAAATAGTAGTTGGTAAGAAAATAATCATGTCAAAATCAAGCTTTAGTTAAGGATTTAATGAGGAGAAATTCACACTAATTAAACAAAAAAATGTCATTGCAAACATGTAGAAATTGAAAAAATATCAAAATATACAACCGAGGAACCGCCACAGTCATTTTCTTTCTTCTTCGCGACCTTTATAAAACCCCCAATTATGTTCCCTTCAACTTATAATCCCTATGCTACCTACTAATTACTAACCAGATCATCATTTTATAGCTATCTAGTAGCATGTCAATCATGAACATGAGGAATATAATGAACAACCCTCACAACTCTACTTTCTATTTCAACATCTAAGAAATCGGGTTGCAATATGCATTTAAGTAAAAATCAATTATTCAACCAAAGGACATATGCCCTAAGTCCAACCAATTATCCTTTCTAATAATATATTACCTATTTACATAAACATATATGACGTAATAGAGAACATAAAACAACTCCGTAAAACGAAGAAGAAATACATTCGCTCATCGAGTGGGGAAATTTACCATCCAGCCGCTTTAATTTGAAAGAAATTAAGAAAATAATGGAAAAAGAGTGAGCAGTTGCCAACTTCAGATCAAGGAGGAAGAGGGAGCAGTCGACAATCCTCGGTTTGGTTCACCTCGTCTTCGCAATGATAGGATGAACTGCTTTTATCAACAGGCAAAAATATGTTACAACTACTCAAAATTTTGTCAACTAATCGTTTCCTTGTGTACCTCCCTCCTCCTATTCTCCTACAAAGAAAAAAAAAACTTCATATGCATTACCATTTCCTTCTCTATCTAATTTTTTATTTTCAATGTTGGATTTTATTTCTAGAGAGACAATCAAAATGGGAAAATGGTAGAGATAAATTAAAAGGTTGTATTCATAATTAATATGTTTTTTTCATTTAAACGGAATGAATAAGAAGTGTTTTAAAAAAAATAAAAATTATTGCTATGTCAAATTTATCTTCAGACCTTTTTCAATATAAATTATACTTGTTTTATTTTATAAATATATTCATTAGGAAGAATTGAGCGTTTGATAGCAAAAAATATATAGTCATATAGTTCATTTTTCAAAAATGATTGATTGTCAAACGCTCATTTTCTCCTAGGCCATCGTTGAAATTTTGTTTAATTGAAAAATTATTATTATTCATATGTGTGCTTCTTTTTTTTCCATCAAAATGTAACTTATTATAAAGTTTTAGTGAAAATGAATATAAAATTTACTTAATGAGATTTAATAAGATATTTTGGGTTAAACAAACACTATATATGTCACTCTCTATTTTCATCTTTATAGTTTGTTTAATTGAAGAAAAGATTATTACTTATGTGTGTTTGTTTGTTTAAATGTGTCACAAAAAATGTAACTTATTTTAAGTTTTAGTAAAAATGGGTAGAAGTATTAAAGGAAGAGAGAGATAGCTCCATAAATAGATCAATAAATAAATTTTTGTTTGTAAAAAAATTGTCCACCTTAGCATCTTGTGAATTCACCGTGCTTATGTGGCAAGAAGTTACTTTTGAATAGGCATAATATTAAGTATAGATAGATATAGATATAGATATAGATAGATATAGATTAATTCAATCTTCCAACAATTCAATACTAGAACAGTACGACCAGCAATGAATTGCTTGAATTAAATGGCCACTTTAAGGATAAGTTATAACAGAGTCCCATGTAATTTCGATTTTGAATTGAATAGGCACAAATCAAAGGAAATTCAATCCTCCTTTTAATACCCATCTTCATTTTAGCGTTTCTAAACGGTCACCAATTTGGATCAATGTAGGAGGGATTCCAGGCATTTATTCACCTTTCATGAACTTCTTTCCACTAATTTTTACCTCATTATATGTCTAGGTATCACAACAAGATACGAAAGTATGTCACTACACAAAGGATGAAAAGTACACAGTCAAATCAGGATATCAACTAACGACAGAATCAGTCTTGCAGTAAGCAGGAAACCAATGGTGCTTATAATCGATCCACCCATTTGGAAAAAGATCTGGAATACCCACGTCACTCCAAAGTTTAAATTCTTCATATCGCAATATCTTAGGATCATTCTACTCACCGTGGTAGCCTTACAAACACGTGGAGTTAATTGCCTCAGTAGATGTCCTGTATGCTAGAGACATAGAGAGCATTGAACACTTATTCTTCAGATGCCCCCTAGCCACCAAGTTGTGGACCTCAGTGGGATTGAGCAACTTAATTGATCTGCCCTGACTGTAAACTTTAGTCTATGGTGGCGACATGTCATGATTTCTGAGATCTCCCCATTCCACATTCTCCAATGCATTTGTTTATTTCGAGAATCTGGAAGAATATAAATAAATTGATTTTTTATTTCTACCAACCTCATGTTCGTTCCCTAGCCAGACAATCCTACAACCAGGTCATAGAAGTTTCCAGTTTGCTCCCCCCTCATCCACCCCCAAGTCAATAATCCTCCCATTTCCTCTTCCACCAGCTTGGACGTCTCCACCAGTCGGCTTTTTGAAAATCAGTTTCGATGCAGATATTTGCGACTTAGGGTGCTCGTCGGGTCTTGTCGTTCATGGTTCAGACGGGCATGTGGTGGTGGCATTCGGTTGGCGACACCAAGGAGTAGTCGACCCTTACCTAGCAGAGCTCCTAGTAGTGAGAGATTCTATCTCCTTAGTCGCTTCGGGATCCTTGACTCATGTGATTGTAAGACACAAGAAATTCCAATTGGAAATTTAGGGATTGAGAAGGGAAGAAATTAGGGATTTGGAGAATTGGGGAAGAACAAGAGAGAGAAGAGAGAGACTAGGGATTGGGTTTTCTGAATTATTATTGCTTAACTTCCGAAACTAATGAGCTGAAGTCTTAAGTAATAAACCAAAAATAACATAAATTACAAGTGTGCCATCCCCCCCTTCCTTCCTGGCCGAGTTCGGCCCTCCTACTCTGCCCCCCCCCCCCCCCCCGATCGGGTTTCCCACATCCCCTCCTCCTTCAGAATCGACATCGGCCTCGAGGTTCAAGTCCGAGAATCTCTGACGAAGCACCTCTGACTCTTCCCAGGTGGCATCTTCCAGTTCCACATGCTTCCACTGCACCAAACTCTCTTCCACCAACCGTCCTCCCTTCTTGGTCCACCAGGTCTCCAACACCTTGAGAGGAACCAACTCCAAGTCGCCATCTGCTGTCACAGGGGGAGCCGTCGAAGTCACCCTGTCCGCCAGGCCCCGATACCTTTTCAGCAAGGAAATGTGGAACACCGGGTGTATGCGCGAACCCGCAGGCAGCTGCAACCGATAAGCAACCGGATTGACCTTGTGGACGATCTCGCTCGCCGGAAAATCGAGGACTGCCGGTAGGGATGCAGCCTCAACAGTACCCAGTGACCCACCTCAAACTCCTCATCCCGCCGTCCTGCATCCTCGGTCTGCTTCATCCTGTTGGTCGCTGCAGCCAAATTGGCTCTTAACTGCTCCAAAGCCTCGTCTCGTCCGCCCAACCACCTGTCCACCAGGTCAACCAAACTCGACCCGCCTCGGTACTGCACTAATGCTAGGGGCGGTCTCCCATATAAAGCCTCGAACGGGGTCATTTTGATGGACCGATGAAACGTGGTGTTATACCACAATTCCGCCCACGGAAGAATGGCCAGCCACTGCTTCGGCTGCTAATGGGCAAAGCACCTCAGATACTGCTCTAGGTGCTTGTTAACTATCTCCGTCTGTCCGTCGATCTGAGGATGATAGGCCGAGCTCATGCGCAACACCGTCCGTGCCATCGCAAAGACCTCCTGCCAA